TGTCCATAGTTTGGAATACAATGCTATTTTTTTTAAATAAGAAAATCTTTCTAAGATATATTAGATAAAAAATAATAGTTTGCATAATATGAACCCATTTGTGTAAAATATATACACAAAAATGTATAGAATGTTTCTGAAAGAACACATAAGAGACTTAACAATGGTTATCTTTAGTCAGAGGGAATGAGGTTAATGGAAGGAGAAAGTTATTTTTTCTGTTTTGTTTATCATTTAAATCATTTGCCATGGCTAGTCTCAACTATTACTTTTATATGACTAATAATTAATGTAAATTATAGTAGGAGAGAAATAATGTAAGTTGCAGATACCCACAAAGAACCGATAGCACCCAATAAAATCACCAAACCTTTCCAAATGGTTCTCAGTGAGCCCAAGGCAACAGCACATCAAGGTAGTAACAACCACTAAAGTAAGCAATTGCATGCTACTTTAATTTTTTTCTGACAAACTCGGTGATTTTTTCCCCTACAAGTACAGCAACTATGTGAGTACACAGGTTGGTGGTGATATTCCTATTCTTCAGGAGGAAACAGCCTGAGAAATTTAGTAATATACCATTATTCTAGAAGCTCATTTCCAATCGCCTGCTAAGAACTTCTAGCTAGAGATGTTGCTGAGCCTTCAATACTGCATTGTGTATTGTATATTTGAAAGTTGCTAAGAGAGTGTATCTTAAAGTCCTTTTCACAAGAAAAAATTGTAACTGTGATATGATAAGTATATTAACTAAACTTATTGTGGTATCATTTACTAATTAATACATATATCACTATGTTGTACACCTTAAATTTTACAATGTTATGTGTCAATTATATCTCAATAAAGCTGGAAAAATAAAGTGAACTCAATATATTCCAAACTGACACTCTTCAAATTGGTGTATGCGTATATCTGGCTATACATAAAGACTTTCCAAGGATGTGTGGAAAGGATAGTTTGCAGGGATCAATTTCAAGATCCTGAATTTCCAGTGATCTATTCTTTTCCAAGTCATCATCACCTTGGGTAAGGATCTGCAGTAATCCTTTGCATGTTGTTTTTCTTTGGTCAGTATCTGCCAATGCTTGTTAATGTGCATACATTTATTTGTGTGGTTGTGTGCATGACAAAAGGCCCATACCTAGAAAATGTAACAAACCTCTACAAATCAATAAGTAAAAGATACAAAACCTATAGGAAACTTCAGAAAGACTTGAACAGGCATTTTGCAAGAGAAGACATCAAAAAAGCCAATGAGCATAAATGCATAAATAAGGGTGACCAATTTCATTTGTAATTCATGAAATGCAGATTAAAACCACAATGAGAAGATGCAGAACAGAAGTGGCACTCTGGCACACTGCTTGTGAGCTGTACGGCAGACACTTGGGGAAAGAACAAAGGAACTCGTGGATGGGGGTGGACAAAGAAGAAAATTCACACCGATTCAGCTGTGATCATGGTCCTTCAGTGCCTTTCAGTAGGAACCTCCTGTCAAAACACGTCAGATACAGAGTCCTCTCTGCAGAAGCCAAAGTCCACAGCAAAACAGCCCCACGGGTCTTCATGGCTTAGTTCCCCACTACCGCCCTACAGGTCCTTCTAGGGTTCTAGAGAAAAAGGACTACTAATATGCTTCATAGTCTCTGAATGTGCTTTTTTTCCTGTCTTTAAATCTTTGTCAAGTTCTTCCTATTGAGAATCTCCCTCCTTCTTAGCATGACTCCAATATTAATTCCTACTTTTTCCCTTTCTTTCAGAGCTAGGGCACATGTTGCCTTCACGCTAAGTAGTATTTAGTCCCCTAAAGGAAATAATAGCTCTCTTCTTGAAAACCTAATAGTACTACTACTATATACTCTCTATAAAACATATTTTTATACTGAGTATACATTTACATATCTTATAGAAACCATTGTATTATATGCTATATTTAATATATAGAGTACATGCTTACATATATATACACACACATGATATACTCGTTCTCCAGCGCATTTGTTTCAAACCCTCTGCTGGGCATGGAAGGTCTGTGGGCCAGGACTGGACCAGCACATAACTGCTACTCAGTAAAGATTTGTTGACTTACTAAGTACATAGTAATCATTGAGTATTGAATAAGTCCCCAAGGTTTCTGGTTCATGAGGTTTTTCTTAACATAATTTTTATAAAGCCTTTTTAAAAGGGCCTCAACAGCATATTTATACACATAATTCAGAGTTTAAGAATAACTAAATATAGTAAAATAAAAGTTGAGTGTAAACATATTTAGGATGAAAGTATACAGTAGGAAAAAACTACCCATCCATTAGGCATCAGAAAATTTCCATATGCTTATGTAGAGTACACATATGTAGAGTTAAGGCTCAAGGTCAAAAGCTAATGACCAAACCATGGATAACAATTTTTGGATTAATGAACAAGGGCCTTGTTCACACATTAGGACACACTGCTCTGGAAATCAGACCCTAGACGCCTTGAGTACATACGCCTTTGCAAGGTGTGACTATAAAGCAAAGTACGCCATGATCTGTGGTAAATGACTCCCCGGGAGAGGCTGCATTGTATTCGTCTTTGTACCCCTATAGTGTCCAGTGGTTTAAGTAAAAGATACTTGTTAAAATCAGTATAGACATTTAAATGGCACTTGTCCCATTTAAAATAAGCCACCTTGCAAGGCTTATACACTATAACAATAATTTCCTTCATTTCAAAGAGCCTATAATTGGTTTCCACTATTTATGAAAGGAAGTTAAAATTCTATCTAGCCTGAGATTCAAGTCCTCCACACAATTTTCTCTCCTTTTCTAAAAGTCTCATTTCCCACTCCTTTCCTTCAAGCATCTTAATCTGCCAGTCAAATTGAACTTCCTATTTTCACACTTGCTTGCCTCTGCACCTCTGGTCATTTGGCAATTTCTTAGGTCATTTATCATTCTCTCCCTTGCATTGTATCTTATATATGGTACGCCTCCCCTACTAGATCGTGGGTTCCTCCTGTCAGAGACCATGTCCTACATGTCTACAGCTACATTTCATCACCTAGCAAAGGTCCTGGCACATGGTAGGCACCAAAAAAAAAATTACTGAATGTTTGAATAATGCCAATAGAGCTAAAATCTGGAAGCTTTCTTGACAAGCCACAGAAGAAAAATGTTTCCTTAATTTACAGCAGGGTTCTTAAATATAAGCAGGCATTAAAAATACCCAGGAAACTTGTTTAAAATGCAAATTCTTGGTGTTAGTTGTCACCAGGGGACTTGAAGGAACACCACAAGGCAACTGTATTCATCTAATAAAAGGGAATAAACTCCTGAACTGCCGTTGAGAGTAAAGAGGACAAAGGGAAGAGACGGACAGGGGCTACCGGGGCATTCCTGGCATGGGAGTTGCCATCGAACTCTTCCTGGCGGGAAAGTCATTTCTTGGTTATTTTTCCTTACATCTGATCTTTGGACTTTGAAATTGGAATGACAATATGTGTTTATTTTAAGTTCCATTCACTTAAATGCACATAGAATACTCTTCAGATATGTACCATATTTCAAAATGGACAATACATAGGTTAAACCCTAGAAACTTTTTATCCAATAAAGCTCTTTGAAAAAAAAATGTTACATGTGTTAGATATTGTGAAAGAAAAGCTCCGGTTATAAAGCAGCAAGGCACTGAGAAAACTAACATGTTCCCTTTAGGTTATTTCAAACAGAGGATATGAAGTAAGACTTCAAGTGGTTAAGAAGAAAAGAGGTCTGCCTTTTAGAAGCTGGTAAGATGCCGGCATTCTCGACTTCATGCACTGAACTCCTCAGGACAGTCTGATGCAGTGCGCGCTCTCTGTCATGTCTGCATCCATTTGGCAAAGACCACACAGAAACAAATGGTATGGAGGCTCAAAGATGGAGGCTTCTGGAGAAATGACCAAAGCCAGAAATAAAGCTGTACTAATTAGAACACAAATAATTACATGGCCAAACCCGAATGTTGTGTGATGCTGAAAAGAGATTTCTGAGGCGCACCATCTGTTGTACGGGTTTTGATTTTGCCGTACAAATCCACTCCACACAGGTCTGCAGCGATCTGCCTGGCTGCTGGTGTGCTTGCACAGTTACTTCAGGCCAGAAATACTGATTGCACAGAACGATTTGAGAGATCAACATATTCATAAAAGAGGGCAGAAAGAACCCATTTTTGAGTGGAGACTAATTTCTTTTAGCCTTGGAGAAAAAATATTACTCAAAGAAATGATTAGAAATTGCCAAAGGAAAATTAGAAAATTTAAAAGAAGAGTGATATCACTATACATTTATGGAATCTAAACTTACCTGGGCCTTCAGGGTCACCACCCACCGCTCTGTTGGCTGGTCTAATGGAAACTTCTCATTCTGATCTTGACCTCTCAGCAGCATTTACCTGGGAGCTGACTGCTCTCACTTTCTCAAACATTTTTCTCACTTCCCGGCACCACTCTTGCAATTTTCCTGCTCCCTCGTCAGCTACTCCTTCTCAGCCTCTATTGCTAGCTTCTCCTCTACTAAATGTTGCATTATGTAAAAGGAGAGTGCAGGGATCTCTTTTCCTTTCTATCTGTATTTTCTTCCTAATTTATCTCTTCAGCCTAATAGCTTTTTATGGCATCTGTCTACCCCAACTCCCAAACTTACAGTTCCAGCTCAGGCTTTTCCAGCTCCAGACCCATGTATTCAACTATATTTGATATCTCTGTGTGGACGGCACATAGGTGTCTCACACTTAGCACTATCTAATACGTTTATCCAGGGGGGTGACTCACAAGTTCCCTGTTAGATATGCTAAGTTTGTAGATACCCATCTCAGAAATGTGTGAAGACTCAATAATTTTTTAAACTTGTCAGATGAGAGAAATTGACTATTTTTCAATAAAAACTATATATAAGCTATGAGGCCAAATGAAAAGAAATATGCAATGGTAGAATGTCGACAAGAAAAAAAAGAAGTATTGTAATGCAGTAACTTACTGTTAACCACTGGTTATCCAGTAGCTCCTTAGCTGTGATTCTGTGAGCAGGATCTACTTTCATAAGTTGTTTCAAAACACTTTTGGCTGCAAATAAAGGAATATCTTGAATATCTTATTTCTTAACTGCAATTAGTAACATTTAATTTCCGATTTATTTAGAATTAGGTCTGTATGACATGAAGGAAAGATAACTATTATAAAACAAATATCATCAGTATAAATAGCTTAGAAACAAAGTTTAAGGCCTACAGTGAGGTTTTATTGCCTGGGTTAGCTGATTTAAATTCTATAGTAAAAATTAACTAGATAATCAGTACATTTCCTCTTCAATTTTTACTATGTATTTTCTGTTTTGGTTCGAAGTTTTGACTATAAAAATCATAGTGAAGATAATCACTATTTCCACAGGTAAATAGTGTTATTTCTACAAGCAAATTCAATGACTAAACAGAGGTTTCAAGCATCTGAATTACTAGCAAACTACAATTCTTACATTGTGCACATTTGCTTTAGTAAATAATAACGAACCCGCATTACCACAATCACTTATGGAATCCCAAACTGGATCATCGAAATGTAGTTCTCCCTTTCTTATTAACTCAAAAAGCTTCTCTTCTGAGCTTGCCATAAAGGGCGGTTCTCCACATAACCTACAACAAAGGCAATCATTTTCTTTAGATTTTTAAAAAAATCCAAATAAGGCTATTAAAAATTAAGTTTCCACAGGACTTGGAAGTAGTGGTGCTTCATATTTACATAAAGGACAGGAGGAAGGATAGACATGAAGACATTGAAACTGTTAAAGATTTTGCTTATCTTGGTTCGGTCATTAATTCAAATGGACACTATGCATGAAACCTATATAATTTTATTAACCAATGTCACCCCAATAACTTTAATAACAATTAAAAATTAAATAAATAAAAGATAAAAATGGAGACTGCAGCCAAGAAATCAAGGAAAGACTGAGACTTGAGCCCTGACTAGTGTGAATCAGTGGGTTGGTCGTCATCCTACAAACTGTAGGTCGCCGGTTCAATTCCCAGTCAAGGCACATGCCTGGGTTGTGGACCAGGCTCCTGGCTGAGGGAGTGTGAGAAGCATCCAACTGATGCTTCTCTCTCTCTCTTTCTCCTTCCCTTCCCCTTTCTCTAAAAATAAATAAATAAAATCTCTAAAAAGAGAGAGAGAGAAGACTGAGACCTGAAAGGCAGAAATGTAAGAATTGGGAAAACCATCAAGAGCAAAGATGTGTCATTAGAGGCCGAGGCTAAGCTCATCCATGCCCTCATAGTCCCAATTACTATGCACAGATGTGAAAGTTGAACAATGGGGAAGACTGATAGGAAAAAGTGATTCATTTGAGAAAAGATGTTGAACAAGACCTCTGTGGATACCCCAGATGGCCAGAAAGAGGAACGAATGGGTCCTAGAGCAAATTACACCTGATATATTGCTGAAGGCAAAATGACAACACAGAAACTGTCCTACTAGGGGCACATCATGAGAGGGCAGGGTTCTTTGGAAAAGACAGACTCATAGATGGAGAGCAGGATGACAGGTGGGGCAGGTTATGGGGTACAGGGACTGAGCAATAAGGAAAAAGGACTCATGAACATCAGTACGGTGATTTTGGGGGAGGGTTACAAGGGGACTACATGGTAATGGAAGAAAATACAATAAAACTTTTTTTAACCACTTGATCATCCTAGCACAATAAGTTTTTTTTTGTTTTGTTTTGTTTTTTAAAGAACCCATAGGCATGAATCTACAGGAGCTGAGCAGGGCTGGTGAGGACAGGACATCACGGACATCACTCACTCACAGAGTTTCCAAGAGCTGGAGCCAACTCAATGGCATGTAACAATGGCACGTACCTCCTGTGTGTAGAAATGGAAGCAAAGGGGTTTTGTGAGGTCAGTGCTAGGCTCTTATACTCGGCCCAGGGGTGTCCAGCCCGCAGCCCGTGGGCCAAATGCAGCCCAGGATGGCTATGAATACAGCCCAACACAAAACTGTAAATTTACTTAAAATCTTTTTTTTTTGCTCATCAGTTTTCATTGGTATTTGTATATTTAATGTGTGGCCCAGACAACTCTTCTTCTTCCAGTGTGGCCCAGAGATGCCAAAAGGTTGGACACCCCTGTCACTGAAACTTCCAGATCTGCAGATGACCCAAAGCTGTTCCAGGTGGAGAAACACTAAGCTTAACCAGGGTTACAATACAGGAAGGTGTGCACACAGACATAGCTGCAGATAATAGAGGAGACATACTTTATTGTGAGCAGGGGTAATGTAATGCCAAAGGCACATAAACTGAACTAAACTTCTGGGAAAATATACTGAGTTATCAGAGTCTAAATGACCATGTAAGAATTTTATCCAGGGTAAAATACTATACAAATGTCACTAAGACTAAACCAAGAATAACCCTGGAAACATCTATAGACTGTGAGTCAAAGCTTTAAAAAAATGCATTAAAATGATCACAACTCCTCAAAAATAGTACACAAACTGAAGAAGGTCTGGATGAGAAAAAACAGGTGGTGATGATGTGACACTTCAGTCTGAAAGGGCGAAAGCTGAGCAGACAGAAGGATCGACATCAGTACCGCCACGAGCAGAGTGTGGGAACCTGAGCTTGCCTGCGCATTCCAGAACACAGGAACTACATGTTGTTACGACCTTTTAAAAGGAAAAACTGTGCTATGCTTAACAAAGAGCATGGCAAGCCTATGCTTCAGTAGATAATCCAGTCCCAAACCACAAAAACATGCTTCAATTCAGTTCTTCGTAGTCCACTGTCAACAAGTGTTAGCCACCGTCGGTCCCGCCAACCCGCCTTCCGAGAGCAACCCGAACATGACCACCAGACGTTCCCCGTGACTGCCGGATAGAAGTCGCACTGGGACTCCGCACAGAGCAATTCCGTCTGTCTACTCTTCCACTTTCAAGACTGGATATTTTTCCCACTTTATTGCTGAAAGAATAAAATGGCGCAACTCCATTATTCTTCCCAAATTCTTGTCTAATATATACTTAAGTATAATTATCTCTAATTCTCCTAACAGTTATATGTCTACTGATTTTTTAGCTATACCTTTAAGTTCTTTAAAAGTCTTTCCCACATTTTTTAATAAGTCTACATTTAATAAATATTTTGAATGAAGATGATGATATGATGATGATGATTTTCCTAGGGGAAAAAAGTGTTTGTTTTTGTCCTACTAGTTTATCAGACTGGGCTAGACAATGTCACTTTTCATTTACCAACAGGCCCTTCCTTGGTACAAGATGGATATTTACCAAATTGCTCCACAAACTCTTATTTCAATACTTTTCAACTTCTCCAGCTCATTCTGACTCTCCTTTCTCTGATCTTACTTACGTCACTGCTATTTACTTTTAAAATGCAACTTTTAAAAAGCCAGGAAAACAGTCTTATGGACAATGACTATATATTGTAACAAGTATGGGCCAGCAAAAGACCAGCTCATCGAGTCTGTTAATAACCAGCGACACGCACATTTGCCAGTTTCTCCGCTGCTCCTGCACTGCCTGACTAGCATGCAACCATAGCCAAGGGCTACGTTTTTAAATTCTACTTTTTTTCTGTCCTTCGCAATTTTACTTACACAAGAATGTATCTAATGGCTGGTCAATCAGCAGCATGTGAAATTTTATGACAGCAATTTTCTGCACATCCAGAAAAGTAAATCCAAGACATGAAAAATGCCTCTTAATGCTTTTCTATTATTTTCTGCTGCATTCACAGGAATCAAAATAGCAGAGGATATACCCATAAAGAGTATTTATGTTAATTTCACCTTGAGAAAGTATGTTATCATTGTCCAATTAAGTAGAAATAAATCAGAAGTAACTGATAAACAAGAAAATAACCCCCCTGGAGGAGGTAATATGTTTGCACCCTCGGTGAAGGAAATTACCTAAAATCACTGGGCTCAGGCAGATTAATGAATAGGCACTGATTAGCTAAGTAAGAGTCTACTGTAAAGGAAAAAAGATGTCATTTGTGATGATATGCGGTGATGCTCTGAAGCAGAAAAATTAAAATGGTATCTTCAAGAAAGAGAAAAATTTAACATATTAATACACTATCAGTTTCCTTAACATCAAAATCAAAACTAAGAAGGCAGCAAACACATGAATTATGTATTATTAGATTGCACATATATTTGATGTGTATTGCCTAGAAAGACTTAAGAGTATAAAACACTAAAATTATTATATTTTTAATTAAAGACTAAGACTCATAATTTTTACACTATGATTCCAACTAACACAAAACAATGATCAAAACTGTATGACTACATTTATACTTAATGTAATCTAAGCAGGTAATGCATGCTGACCACCTGAGTTACAGCTATAATCCCATCACCCAATTTCCACTGCCTGTGTGTTCCACCCCAAAACTACGAAAGTGTAACTACTGTGATGTCAATATTTAGAAATGATCTGGATGAGGAAGTACACAGTGAAATCTTCAGTATGGCCATAAAACTAATGTTGCATCAACATAAAAATGTTCATATTCATCAAGAGGCAGAACAATGGTCCCTAACTTTTCAGGATGCCTCTTACAAACTTCACTTTAATTCAATTAACAAGCAGATACTGAACACTGACTACATGCCTACTATTGTACCAGATGCTAGGGATGCAAAGATGAATAAGATGTCTGCCCCTCATGGAATTTAGAGTAAGGAAAATAGATACAGTACACATAACACAATAATTATATCACAGCATTATAATCTAGTTTTTAAAAGTGCTATGAGAACATGGAGGAGTGAACAATTAATTCTACCAAATTTACACACATGCAAACCTTCCTGGTTAAATACTCCTACTTTATTATTTTGCTTTTCTTTCAATGTTACTGTTTTGCATACATTCCTGTATGTTGCCTTAAACCCTCTGGGAAAGTATACATAATGAACATAGTAAATCTGCTGAAGTAGAGTAGGAATTTGCAAAATACAAGGTGTTAATGTCTGACCTGGGTACATCCAGGAGAGAGGTTAGCAGAGAAGAAAGAACATTCTAGGCAGAAGGAACTGCATGAGCAAAGAAAGACCCAGAGGCATGCGATCCAGGGACCCTGGGCTGAATCTCCACCTGGTTAATGGCCACTCGTCACACCTGCCTGTGCCCAGGGCAGCTCCAGTGCCAGTTCCCAGGACAGCCCTCTACCTGATGGGCCCTCAGTAATCTCTTGAGAAAATACAAAGAAGCTCAGTTTATAGCAAAGGATGAGGGAAGTTTTAGGGCAAGTTTTTCACTGTGTTCACATTATACAGTGCATTGTTGCAAATCAATAAAAAGCAAAGCTGAAAGTTAAGAATTTACAATATTAAAAAATACCTAATGTAAGTACCTGACAACTGGTAAGAGAGCTTTCAGACTGACCTCCCGATTTTTTTTCAGTCACTTTTTAAAAACTATACTGCTTACTTGTAACTGAAAATCTACATGACTATGCTAGAAAACATTCACTTTACACTGCCCATTCCACGAGCTACTCACAAAATGTACATGATGACCCCTATGCTCCAGATGTCGCACTGATGGCTGTAGTCATGGGCGTTGATGACCTCAGGGGCTGCGAACAAGCAGAAGTAAAGTAGCATTAACGATACAATAGACGACTTTTACATGCTTAAACACAAAGCATGAAAAACGTGCTGATGTGCTGAAATCTGTTCCCCCACAGGGAAAACGAGAGCCAACGGCAGATGCTAAATGAATAAGGGACAGGCCCTGACAACTGATGTCACTGCATCCTCACTCCTGTCACTTAGCTTCCAAAGCTACTACGGCACAAACCATGTGACTGAGTGCACGACTACTCTTCATTCCTTTGCAGTTAAGAAAGGATTTTGCAAAGATTGTGTAGTTACAGTAAAAGACAATAATATCTCAGTTCTTTTCCAAAAATAGCATTAAATACATGCCTTAAGTGGTTATGATTTAAAGTAAGCCTAATATGTGGAAATCTGGATTCACAGAAAAGCTAAGATTTGGGGCTATAAATCACTGTGGTAAGATAATAACATCATGGCACTCCTCCGACAGAACATGAATTATTTTCCGCGCTTTCTAAATGAGGAAACCGACACAAAGAGTGAGCTCCCTGCCACGTAACTGGATTGGCCAACAGGCACCGTGCTCCTGCCTCTCCACTCCATGCTTCCTGCTTTACATCGTGTTCACAACAGGGTTCCTTTAAACAATCTTTTCAAAGTAGAACTTTTTTTTTAACTTTAAGGTAGCACATTTTTTAATGATTGGATTTTTTATAATGCTGGTTTTTAAGAAAGTCACATATATTTCAGAAGTAAGTCTGTTATATCTCTACAGCAAGGACTCAGATGTCTTTAAGGAAAAAGGAAGAATAGAATAGTTGTAAATATAAAAATAAAACACATGCAGAGGCTTCATTAGAACTCTAACACTGACAAAGTGCTTTTGTACAGACTACGGCACTTGTGTAAGTGACGTTGAGGAGCTTGTGAGACGAGTATATAGGCATTTGACTCACTTTGCCAATGAGGACACTGAGGTTCAGATATGTTAAGTGACTTGCCTAAAGTTACAAGTGCTTTTACTTTTTTAAGATTTTATTTATTTACTTTTAGAGAGAGGTGAAGGGAGGGAGAAAGAGGAAGAGAAACATCCATGTGAGAGAGAAACATCAATCAGTTGCCTTTCATCCACTCCCCAGCCGAGGGCCAAACCCACAACCCAGGCATGTGCTCTGACCAGGAGCTCAACTGCCCACCTTTCACTTTGCTGGACGATGCTTCAGCCAACCAAGCCACGTGGGTCAGGGCACAAGTGATTTTATTTTATAAAACCATTTCAATCTCCTTCACCTACACACACGCACACACGCACACACACACACCCCTTTTATAACTACTAGAAGCAAATGGAATTTCATTTCCCCTTTGTATTGTTAAAGGAGCTAAAAAGCAACAAAAAAGTTAAAAAGTAAATGGAAGAGAGAATGAATAAACACTCTACTATAGATAATTTACAAACTGAATAATTCATCTCCAAATCACTGAAAATTAACTGATGGACATTTTCCTTTAAGCAGCTATTTGTTTTCTTTAACTCTACCTACTCTTTAAATATGGAATCATCAAAGTTCAAGTGGCTCTATGGCCACATGTCTATGACAAGGGCAAATTCTGGGATTATATTCTATGAAGAATCTCTGTAAAGGTGTGACATGGACACACCACAGGGGCCTAGTTCCTGTCCCTCACTCCTTGAGAGTCACCTTAATTAACAGGGGCATTTCTACTGCACTGCCATCCCAGCTCTCAAAGGGAGGCAGAAGCCAGGACAACTGTGCCAAGGAGCCATTTAGAAAGTCAGCAAAGCTCTACCAACCATCTGTCTTCTCTCTTGTTCTCTCACTTGTTATCAGTGTAGACAACTAATAAGCAGGCACACAACTCAGGGTGCTTGGCTATATTTTCCCCATAAAACCACAGACCAGATGTCTTTTGCCAACAGGAGGATATGAACAGAATCTAAAGTAGCCTTTTCCCAAATAAGATAAAACAATTTTGAAACCTTATGCATCAAGTAGGCCAAAAAGAAAAACCCAAAACAAAAATCAATAACTCAGTATAATCCTCAGGAGGAAGGAAAGAAGGGAAGAAGGAAGGAAGGAAGGAAGGAAGGAAGGAAGGAAGGAAGAGAAATGAAGAAAGAAAGAACTACTAATATGTCTAAAATCATTACATGGAACAGAAGAAAACAGACAGAAGAATATGTACTGCATAATTCAATGTATATAAAGCTCCAGACACACACCACTGAGCTGTGGTGACAGAAATCATTCGTGGTTGCTGGGGTCTGCCTGGGGGACTACTGAGAGGGACACAAAGAAACTGGAGTGACAGAGATGTTCTGTACCTCCACTGGGGTGGTGATTATACAAGTATATGCATTTCTCAAAACTTGTAGAATTTTACACTTAATATTTGTGCATTTTATTGTATGTAAATTACAATTCAGTAAAGTAGATTTTTAAAATAAATCTACTGAAAGTACAAAGAGAATTTCTCAAAGCCCTATCTTGATGAGAGAACTTTAAAAAATGTTCGCTCTTAGAAATCAAAAGCAGCAGCAAGAAAAATTAAATCAACAATATGGAAAGTTTAAATCACAAAAGTATCACATTTGATTTTATAAACACAAACATAGAGAAATTTTTATGCTTAACGAACCAGGAATATACATACTTCTAAATACCCAATGCAACATTTATGGAAACAAATCATGTGTTCAATCATAAAGAAAATTCCTAAAAGTTGGTAATGCTTTAAGTCACAATTGCCTACTAAAATGAAGAAAACCAGACAGAAAAACCAAGGCTAGGAACACTAACACACATTCACATGAATGGCAAATACATCATAACAACCTAGAAAATTCTGAAAGCACTTCTAAATAAATCTCAAACTAAAGAGGAAGACTAAAGCCAAAGTTACAGGCTATTAAGAAATAGTCTATATAATTTGGACACTGTATAAAGCAAAAGAAATGGTAAAATAATTACTTAGAGGAAAATATATAACTTCAAATGCATTTATTAGAAAATGAGAAGACTGAAAATAAACATTTAGCCTAGAAAGTTAAAAAATAAACCAAAAGAAAGTAGAGAAAAGGAATTCAGAAAGATTAAAGCAGAAATTAATGAAAAAGCAAACTACGCAACATTAGAGTTGAGCCAATTCTCTGAAATCCCAATACACTGGCCCAACTGCTAACAAACCTGGTAAAAAAAAAAAAGAGGATTAATATATTAAAAGAGCTCCTGTTGAGCATCAAGTACCACCAGGCACCATGCTAATCACTGCACATACATTTTCTCATTTGATTTGCACGTCAACCTGGTAAGACAGTATTAGTACCATCCTACATATGTCATCTCCCCTTCCGTTTTTATTTTCCTCCCTTAGCACTTCTCTCTAACGTACCAGATATCTTACTTCTTCATCTTGTTTGATATTTTCGCCAACATGACATTTTATTCACTATTATAGTTCCAATATCTAGCCCAGTGTCTGACACAAAGACCCTCAAAGATATTTTGATGAACAAGCGACACGGTCCTGGTTCTGTGATGTAGAAACTGGGACAAGAGCAGCTGTTTGCCTGGGGGTCATCAGACAGTGAGGACAGAGCTGACATCCCGAGTCAGCCCCACAGCGTCAGAGGCTGTGTCACCAACACAATGTCAAACTGCCTTCTTAAAAATTGTCAGGGATCAGCAGGAGGACATAACCACAAATATGCAGGGGAATGTGAAATTGTAAGTGAATATATTTGCACATTTATGTCAATAAAATGTAAAATCACAATGTAAGAAACAATTTTCTAAAAAAAGTATAAAAATGATTAAAAAAATGTGAAAAATTTGAATAACCTAGAATAAATTGAAAATACAATATAAACTATATTCCCCAAAGAATACCAGGACCAAAATAATTTAAGGATAAATTTCATCAAACTAATGAATAAATAATTTCTACTTCTTAGATGGTTCACGAGCATATAAAGAGTGAAAATGTTTTATTTCTTTAAATTAGGGTAGGATAACCCTAACAGCAAAAAAGACAATGGAAGACTCAGCCATAAAAAAGAAGATTTTATCCTTTGCAACAACATGGATGGACCTGGAGAACATTATGCCAAGTGAAACAAGCCAGTCAGAGAAAAACAAGAACAATATGACTTCACTTATGTGCAGAATCTAATGAACAAACTGATCTAACAAGCAAAACAGAGACAGACTCAGAGACAGAGCGCAGGCTGATAGCGCTGAGTAGGGGAGAGTTGGGGGTGGAGGAATGGAGCAACAAAGAACAAGGACTCATGCTCATGGACAAATGTGTTCACTGTAGGTGGGAAGGGTGTGGGTGGAGGTGGAATGGGGTTCAAGGGGGATAAATGGTAATAGAAAAATACAATAAAAATTATCAAAATAAATAAAATAAAATAAATGAGGCTAGCATAACACTAACACCAAAAAAGACAAGGGCAGCACCAAAGAAAGCAAGCTACACCCATTGTCCCTCAATAAAGTGGTGACAAACTGAATACAGCAGTATATTAAGGATGTATATTAAGGATGTATGTACAGCAGTATATTAAGTATATGCAAGGATGGTTCAACATTTTAAAAAGCCATTGATGTCATTACTTCATTAATAAATTTAAAATACACAATTATCTCAACAGGTACAGATTTGAACAGACATGTCATCAGAGTAGACATATAAATGACTAGTAAGTACAGGAAAAGATGCTCAACATCACTGGTGATTAGGGTAATGCAAATTAAAACCACCCTGAGATACCACCTCATACCCACTAGAATGGCTGCAGTTTAAAAAGGCAATAACAAGTGTCAGCCAGGATGCAAAGAAGCTGAAACCCTCATACCTTGCTAGTAGAAAGGTTAAATGTTATAGCCACTTTGGAAAATTGCTTGGCAGTTACTTAAACATTTAAACATAAATAATATATGAACTAGCAATTTCACTCCTAGGTTGCTACACAAAGAAAAGAAAGCCACATCTATCGTCCTGGCTGGTGTGGCTCATTGGACTGAGCACAGGCCTACAGGCTGATAGGTCGCCAGTCTGATTTGCAGTCGGGGCACAGGGCTTGGGTTGCAGGCCAGGTCCCCTCATTGGGAGAGTGCAAGAAGCAACTGCTCTATGTCTCTCTAGCACATGTTTCTCTCCCTCTCTTTCTCCCTTCTTTCCCCTCTCTTTAAAAAAATTAAATAGAATCTTTTAAAAAATAAAATAAAACTATATGGACATATAAAAACTTGCACATTATACATGATAGCCCAAACCGGAAGTAGCCCCCACACCCATCAGCTAATGAGTGGACAAACTGTGGCATATCCGTGCAATGGACCACTGTGCAGCAACACAAAGGAACGGATGCGGATACACTCTACAACAGGGATATGCCTCAAACACATGACGCTGAGGGGAAGAAACCAGACATAAAAGGCTACAGATTGTGCAGCTCCATTTCTGAGGAATGTTCAGAAAAGGCAACTCTAGACAGACAAGAAGATTAATGGCTACCTGGGACTGGGATGGGCATGAGGATGAGTAAATAGGCATCAGGCAACTTTTGGGGGTAGGAGTTTTCTAAAACTGGGCTGTGGTGAGGTGGCACAACTCTGTGAGGATATGGAAAATCACTGAATGGCACATCTTTTATGGCATTTAAATCATAGTTTAGTAAAGCTGCTAAAATCACATTTAGAAAAATGGAAAATTGTTCTTTTACAAACATATTTAATCAGTATTCTTCATGAAAAACTATTTGGTGACAATGAAATTGAATAAAAAACAAGAGAAGCAAAAGACATGATCTTAGCATGAATTAACAAAAACAGTAATTAAGCTTGGGGGTGATTCCTTAAGAGAAATAAACAACTTTAAGAAGAGCCTAGAGAAACAATGAACACTACAATTTTTGAAGACAAAAACTCTGAGAAAAACTCTAAAACAACTGAAATTATTTGACCCTAAAAAGTAGCTTGCTCGGGGCCACAAAGTCCTGATGGCAAAGCGAATTGCTCACATCACTTGCTCTACATTTTAATACTGAAAAAGTCATTCTGGGCTACTAACTCACCCATATACATGGGAGTCCCACACGTGGTCTGCAGCATGGCCTCGCTCCCGCCATGCTTCTTCACCGCTAGGCCAAAATCAGTCACCTGCAAGAGAAACTCAGTCACCTGTCTTCCTGGCCCAGAGTTCCCTCACTCTGGAGGCAGGATTTCGTCATCGCATTTAACTCAAGGAACATGGAGGATGGAGGGGCTTTACTTGTATTAGTAATAAGACCTTTAATCTTGCTTTGCTCCCCCACCCCGCCCCCGCCCGCACAGTGAAAAAGAAACTTGGTAAAGAGAAGCTTGGCTTCTCCAATCTTGAGAAACCGCCCAGGATGTTGATTGCTCATTCCTTCTAATTAAATTCACCAGTTCAACATGGGAAATGGCATCTTGTGAGAAGGCATTTAATTTTTTTTAAGAAAAAGTTATTTTTAAGAAGTTCTTTCACTTTAAAGTACATCCTGGCCTTATTATGTTTATTATATACTTTTCTGACACTCAAGCAACTTTCCACTTTAAAGCACTGTTATAAGTGCAAATCACTCTTCTTTTCAGCAAAGAAACTCCCCCTTTTGGTAATTATTTTAAAAACACTATCGCTGGTAAACACTCTTTTCTTTATCATTTCCTTTGTTTTCTGGAGTGTACTAGTTAAAACAATGACCACACTATTAAAAACTCCAAGAAGCAACAGGAAAAACGCAGTGCGACTACAAACACACTGAGTCCCCTGCTGCGGCTGCAGTCTCTCCGCTCAGTTCTGAACCTTGGTCATTAAACATTGGTTGTTAAATATTCAGTATGTGCCCTTGGTCTTGTCTCCCAAGTTGGAACAGCCTTGGGCTGAAGGCAGAAAAACAGCCCCGTTTATTGATCACACAACCAAAGACAGGCTGTCAATCCACAGACACTGAATGGAAAGTTTCCTATGGAGTAAGAAAAAGTTCCTGTCAACATGCAGTATCACTCTTCTTGTAACCAGATTAATCCATTTCCCCAGGAGTTTTCACAATTTTCCCACTTGAAGTTCCAGGACACTGTCTTTCTCCACAGAAAATCTATACGGGTATCGAATAAACAAAAGGTTTCACGATCCATTCTGTTCTTTGGAGAGAATTTATTCCTTCACTCACCAAATATTAACTGAGCACATACTATGTTTCAGGCATTACTCCAAGGACCAACAGTGAATGAGGCAGATGATTCCTGCCTGCACGGAGTTTACAATGGAAATGTTCAAAAACATTCACTCAGGTGAAACAACCATGGTGTTAGGTGGACCTACTGTACCACAGGGATTTACCACCCACAGCAGAGAGAGTTACCCACAGACATATTATTCCTAAATTAACACACTCGTATGTTTTGAGAGCAGGCACTAGTAAAATGCTAAGTAATAAATAATGTATCCTATCATTTATTTGACATTAAGGAACACTTAATTTGAATAAAATCTTCAAGAATAAATACTTGGCACATTAATTTTGCTTAGGATATACATATTAATGCCCAGGAAAATTTTCAGTGAGAAATACAGACTTTGGCATTTAGTATCAAAGGCATAATTTTGAAATTAATTAGAATTCAGAGCATCTGTTTGCTTGCTATTAACTAATGATTTAGAACTATCCAAATGAATATGTACTTAAAAAAATTCAACTTCACCACTTAACTTGCAAAATTATTGTCAGTTACAGCCTCTTTTGTGAATTTTTTTATTGTTTTAGCACAAGTCACTTATTTTCTGGCTGCTCAAAGCTTCTAAAACGTATCTAAAGAGTGTACTTTGCTATCAAACTGTTTATGGGAGAATATCTACCACCATTTCTAATATCTTACCTTTATGTTTAAGTTCATTTCATTGTTAGCATCAATAAAGCTGCTTTTAACCATTATGTTTTCCAGTTTTAGATCTCTATGTACTATATCTACCAAGAAAATAAACAACAAATCAAATGAAATGAATAATGGAAAAATAATTAGAGGGGACACAAATACAACAAATAAATATATTTGACAAATTAATGTCCACCACTGAAATACTTGAGGCGTGCCCAGCATAACTCTGCTGTGTTCCATTTCCTTCTATTCACATCCCTTTCCCCACATTTCTAACCTTAAGGAGCCCGTTCTCCTTGACTCCCTCATCTCTCCCCATTCCCCTGCTGCCTGACCTGGCTGCAGCTCCTCCCGACCAGTGACCTGTGAGTGTGGATGAGGATCCTGTCCAAGGTCAGGGTTCCCAGGAGGAGGGAGACAACAGTAGCTACAAGCCTGGTGACATTTCTTATATCTGTACTACTCCAAATAGAGAATCACTTCTTTCCTTCTTTGCATATGTTATTGCTGATATAAACATTTAACATACTGCAACTTGGCTAAATGTATACAAACTACACCTATTTCAGTATATTTTTCTGTAACACCACCACACTTTACTACTACTCTTCATGTGTTAAAATAAGAAACCAACAAAAAACCCTTGAGACACAAAATCTCCAGGTGCATATGTTAGACCTCGAGTAGGGTTTTTATGTACAGGCAGACAATCATGTGCCAAGCACTTCTTTGCAAATAACTGATTTGGTGCATATCCATAGCAATCATTTCTCTAGGCTTAAAAGGTTATATGTAAAATGGCTGGAAAAATGTAGTTGAATGAACCCTGGATTGGCAATTATACCTAACCATTTATAGTTCCCATACACAGCGCCCAGCCTATACTTGGGGAATTTTTATCATTTCTATTGCTCCATTTATCTCTTCTTACATAAACACCACATGATGTTAATTAATGTATCTTTACCATACGTTTTGATTTTTGTCAGGGCAAGTGTCTTTGCTGCCTCCATTGCTCTCCTTTTTCATTGGTTTCTTTGCTATTCTAACCCATTTCGGAATAATTTTATTAAATTCCATGAAAAATCCTGGTAAGATTTTTGTTTTGAATTATACTAAACTTGTACCTTAATGGGGGAAAATTGACGTCAGCATAACATTAAGCCTTAGGTTTCCTGCCCTTGCAGAGGCTGTTGCCACCTGCCTGGAAAGCCCCCTTTTCCATCTGAATCAGTGTCCTCTGCTCCCACCTGCCTCCTCTGTGAATTCTTCTCTGCCTTTCCACATCAGATGAAGCTCTTACATGCCTGTGCTCCACTTTATATGTCTCTCTACTAGAGAAATTATCAGGTTGAACTATAATTTGTTTCTATGCTCAGTCCCCCACTAGCCTGAATTTCCTGAGGGGGAGGGGCCTGGTCTGTGAATCTGTTATTCCAGGGCCAACTGCAATGCAGAGGTTCAGGGAGAACCTGCCGAAGGAACCCCTGTGTTCCAGAACCTGCTGTGCCTCTCCTACCCGTGTTGCTTCACCTCTCTAGAACAAGGTTTTTCTCATCTATAACACGAAACATTTCTAAAATCACCGGTAGGCCAACTAACCTTGAAAAAGGGGAGGGAGGCATGAGGAAAAGCAGCAGTAACTCCAAAGAACACTAAAACAATTAGAATAACAGAATAATTTTTAAATGTGGATTTTAAAGTTGTGAAGCTATTCTGCATGGTACTATAATGGTGGATACACACCATTACACATTGGTCAAAACCCACAGAATGTACAGAGTGATCCCAGTGTCAAGTATGGAGTTTGGGTGGGAATGATGTATCGATGTAGGTTCATCAATGACAAAAATATCCCACTGTGTTGGGGGGCTGTCGTTAATGGGGGAGGCTGTGCATGTATTGGTGGGGGTACAGGGACCCCCTGCTTTTCAAAAGTTCATTTTATACCACTTCACTTTTATTTAAAAAAACATACATTAGTACCTGTTTTTGCTAACTGAAAGAAATCCCAAAAGGATTTTTGCTTTTACAAAAAAATATGAAAAACAAAAATAGAGTTCGACATTTGTTTTGAGTGAGCCTTTATCGAGGCACCCCACACCCTGAGCAGCATGCAGTGTGAGTGGCACCACCTAGCTCCTTTCCTGGGAACTACACTCAGCATCTCAGCAGCTAGCTGCCATAGCTTTGAACTGTGTCTGTGAGCATCTGTGCTTTATCTCAATTTATTTTGTGGATTCATTAGCAAGATGTGTCCTAAGGTATCTGAAAAGCCTAAAAGAGCTCCTGAGTACTGTAAAACTAGACGTAATTAAGCACTGTGGTCGTAGTGATTGAAATAAAGATATTATGCACACACTGAATTTGCCTGTGTCCACCATTTGCACTATTTACACACAGAGACAAACAATCCTGAAAGCTGACAAAGTTACTATTGGCTCTGCTAGTTGCTAAGTGGTGTCTTTTTAGCTGATATCCAGTATTGGATAAAATGGAAAGTCTATTGCTTGAGCAATACAAAACATGGTATTTATTTATCATGTCATTCCTGTTTTTACTACGTTAATGTTATTTGGTATTAGATATTTGGTAGGTTATTTCTGGGTCTGGGAACACTCAAAAACTTTTCCATATAAATGAATGATGATTTTTTGCTTTATGCCATTTCAGATTATAAAAGGTATCATAGGAACGTTCTACTTTCAGAGAGTGGGGAAATTTGTATGAGAAATCTGGGTAACTTCTGTTCAATTTTGCTGTGAGCCTAAAACAGCTCTAAAAAACTAAACAAAAAAATTCTGAAAGCCTGATTGGTGTGACTCAGTTGGGCATTGTCCCACAAAGCAAAAGGCTGCAGGTTCGATTCCCTGTCAGGGCACATGCCTGGGTTGCAGATTGTCTCTGGATTGGGCAAGAGGCAACTGATCAATGTTTCTCTCCCTTTCTTCCTCCCCCCTTCCCTTCTCTCTAAAAATAAATATTTTTAAAACATTCCGAGAATATATAATTTTTAAATTATTAATATGAGGTCTGTCCAGAAAAAGTCCAGCCATTGTTAATACAACGAGAATGGTTTGTGTGACACTGATGTAACCTGGCAGCCAAGCAGAGTGGACTGGAATGCGCATGTGTGAACAATGGCGACTTCACTGTACTAGTCAGTGGGGGCAGTAGACACCATTGAGTGAGCATGTGTGCTGTTTGGCCATCGCATTCAAAATGACTGAGCGAGTAGAGCAAGGAATCTGCATCAAATTTTATGTAAAACTTGAACATTCCTCCACAAAAACTATTTGGATATCCAGAAGGTCCCAGCTATGGACAACTGGTGATTGGCAGCTTCACCACAACAATGCTCCTACTCATCAAATCTCATGCAGTTTTTTTGTGAAACGTCAAATGCCCAGGTGATTCAGCCCCCCTGCAGCTCATATTGGGTACCCTGTGACTCTGGCTTTTCCAAAAACTAAAATCACATTTGAAAGGGATGAGATTTCAGACTATTGTTGAGATTCAGGAAAATATGACAGGGCAGCTGATGGAGATTAGGAGAACTGTATAAGGTCCCAAGGCACCTACTTTGCAGGGGACTAAGGCGTCATTGTCCTATGTACAATGTCTCTTGTATCTTCTTCAATAAATGTCTCTATTTTTCACATTACATGGCTGTATACTTTCTGGACAGACCTTGTATATAAATGTTTTTAGAAATTTCACTTATTGATTCATCTACTTTTGATTTGATAATAGCTGCTTTTCAAATGGCTGAATAGAAATATTCGAACTTCATCCTTGTCCATGGACAACGTAATTGTACACCTGCCTTGCTTCTAATTAAAATAAGTTATAAAGGAAAATATATTTTTTAAAAAAGGAAAAACTTTTTAATGTTTAAATAAAATCTTCCATGCTGGCTGGCACTCTTTCTGTGACTGTGAATCCTGAATGCAATTACCCTTGAACAAAAGTGATGTCTGCATTCACGGAGTGGATGACCTGGAGGATCCTCCTCTTACCGTTATTGTGAAGATACGCTATCGCTGATGCAAGGCTTTGGATGATCCACCTCGTCTCATTCTCTGAGAAATGCCCTTTCTTACTCAGGATTTCTTTGAGTTCTCCATCCTCACAAAGTTCCATCACCAGGTACATTTTCTGGCATTATATATTTTAAAAGAGGGAGAGAGCAAATTATACAGGTGGGGATCTTAAATATGTTATATATATTACATATATAGTAAAAATATGTTCACAACTTTCACATCAGTCTACTGAGAAATATTTATCATCTGTCATGTACAAGCTTCCATGCAGGATACCAGAGGGACATGGAAGAATAAGACCCAGTCTGTACAACTGCAATATCAGATGATGAGTGTTGACAGAAGAGGGGAGCTCCTGATACCAGATTACAGAGGAGGGAAGTATCTGCCCAAAGAATGCCCACTGAGGAGATGACATCACAGGCAGGTCTGGATGACCGAATAGCAATACAGGCATAGAGAACATGGACAAGAATAGGCAGAACATGTGGTATATGCAGAGACCACAAAACCTGGAATGGCACTGGCTGTTAAAAGAATGACGAACATCTCAGTGTTAATTGTGTAGCAGGCAGTTGCGCAAGAGCAAAATATGCAAAGTTAGACAGGCCAGGTATGCATGGAAGGTCACTGGGGCAGAAAGTCTCAGGTGCCTAGCAACGGGCAGCTGTAGGATGGGACCCCATCCCCAGGGTGACCTTTCCTCCCCTAGCACATCACTAGCCATGCGGTTTGGACCCTCCCCTGACCTCTCCTCCCCGGGCATGCCAGTGGTCACGTGGAATTCCTCAGAGAAGGAATGAGGGGCAGAGAACAGCCCCTTACAACTCCTACCCAAACCCCTGCACGGTTACTCCCTTGGCCTTAAGCCCTCAGAACAATGAGGTTCTGACTGCATAACATTATTTTAGGAACAAAGCCTTAGGTCTGCTGACCACAGAATCAGAGTTCTGCTCAAACTAATAACACTTAGACCTCAGCTGTATTTCAACTCCAGGCCCAGAAAAGCAGCCAAACCAGAGGAGTGACGCCGTGACTGACATCAGGACCTGCTGCGAAGACTAATGACCCCTGCCCTGTGGCCACCCAATCAACAGAGAACAGGACCCTGAAAGAGCACACCTGGAAAGCTGCTGAATATTCCTTTGAGATCCTCCTCTGGCACCTCCCCCAAGACCCCCCCCCACCTTTAGAAAGGGGATAAAACCCCTCGGGACAGAGGACCCAGCGACACTCTCTGTCTGGAGTACTCCCTCACCTTTCCACCTCCTTCTTCCCCCAGGCCTTCCTTCTCCTAAGCTCCAAGGGCCCGTCCTTTTGCCTCTGTAACTTGTTTCCTGAGCCCGCACAGCCCAGTGGGCTCACTTTTTCTACTTCTGTGACTTTCTAAATACAGTTTCTGTTATAATTTGAATCTTGGTTTTGAGTTCTTTCTTAGCCAAAACTCAAGTGCTGAGGTTGCTGAACCGAGTTCTGGTTACATTCTGGTTCTATTTTGCCACTAACAATAGCACTGGGAGTCTGGTAGGGCACAAGAGAGGAGACTGGTGGTGAGGGGTGAGGCCAGAAAGATCAGGTTGGTGCCAGGTTATAAAGAGTCTTGGATATCACACAAAGGAGTTTGGACCTTTTTCCCATATGCAGCAAGGAGCTACTGAAAATTTTTAAGCTGGTGTCTGAAGTGGGAAAGGTATATGCTATTACTGATTTTGCATTTCTAAATGAACACTTTCACAGTAAAGTGGAGCAGGGCTCAGCAAGCTTTTTCTGTAAAGGCCAGACAATAAATACTTTAAGCTTTGCAGGCCATACAATCACTTTTATAACTACTCAACTCCGCTGTTATAGCATAAAAGCAATCATAAACAATACAACAAAACTTTATTTATGGACTTTGTAATTTTAGTTTCATATAGTTTTCACGTCATGAAAGCTTACGCTTTTACATTTCTTTCAACCATTTATAAATGTTAAAAAAAAACTTAGCTTATGGGCCGTACAAAGATAGGCAACACGCCAGATCTGGCAGCACATTGCGTGTGCTGACCTGCTTGTGGAGGGTGGGTAAGAGGCACAGAAGGGAGACCAGTAGGGGAAGAAGAAAAAAGTGTGAAAGGAACCTAGGAGAAAGAAACAGTGGGACTTCATGACCACCTGGCTGTACGGGGCAGGAGCCACAGGCAAAGCGCCCACCCCACGTCTGCTGACTCTGCAGATGCAGACTGGGACCGCTCGAGGTGGGACAATAGTCAAGTGGCCCACTGAGTCAGGAAGATTCATGGTCACCTGAAACGCAGGTCTTTTTCACACCTGTTGCAATTCAGTCACTGAATACCCTCTCCATCTCCATTCTACTCTGTGCTGCTAGATTTTTGTTGTTTTTGAAATTTAGGGGTCTGATTCTATTCTACAATCTCTATGAATGTAATTTCTGTGTTCAGTCAGCAAGCATGAGAACAGGAAGAGATTAACTTTTTCTTTTTATAGTCAAAATTCTGATTCACTAAATCTTAGAATGCCTTAGAATTTCATAAGTAACTATTCTGCAAAGTCTAACACAAATACGCTCTTGAACAAGGCCACATTTCTTCTGCTGACAGTATGGCAGAGAACAGCAGTACATGAAATGGTGGAAGGAACAGCTATGTTAGCTGTGCATACAATATGCACTGATGTCAGTTTTAAGTATGTACAGTGATAAAAATTATAGCAGTAACAGGTTTTTAACAGGCTTTTTATAATTACTGAAATCATTGTGTAAATGTGGAGAATGTTTAGACTCACAAGATACCATAACACAAGCAAGGTGGATGGTCAGTGCTAATACCATGGCCTGACCAAGCAGGCAGCAACTTCCAGTAATTCTAAAGACGGCTTCAGCAGAAGGTCTAGGCACTTGTGTGAGTTGGGGAGGGGAGGAGGCAGATCTGACCCACATGAATCAAGGGCAAGCAATACATGAAACAACAGTCACAGACAATGGTTTCCTTTGCCTTCAAACTATTCTAGATTTGGACCTTCACTTGTGCCCAATATGGAGTACCTTCTCTCCTAAAACAACCTGAGAAATGGACAAAATATACAAAGCAACAATTTTCAGACATAGGCATCAGGCAGCAGAGGGCAGAGTTCCTGAGAGGGGAACACACACGAGCAAGCCCACAATCATCCCAGCTTGCTGTCTGGAGGGAGCGTCCAGACCGCAGAGCAGGGAGCGGCAATCCGAGGAGAGTCCAGGGGTCTCCGTGAACTGAGGAGATGAAGCTGGTAGTCCAGGGGGGCCAAGACAACTGCAGTGCCCAGGGAAGAGTACCAAAGAGGAGAAAGCTGTACACAGAGAAAGCTCCAGAGACTTGCAGAGGATCACCCTCAGGTTTTCAGCAGAACACTAATCAGCACGTGTATATGAAGAAGCCACCAAAGGCTGGGAAGAGACCGTCCAAAAGGAACCGAGGGAACAATGGCTGGAGCTTATACATGGTCAGAGAGAGTCTGCACTCCCATTAGCCAGAGTGGAAAATCTCACAGTTCTGGGGCATCAAGTAGAGTCCTCTGAATGGTCTTTCTTCATCAGTAGAAAAAAATTAGCCCAAGACCCAAGACTGCTCTGCCATCACCTAACAAAGCTTAAAGGAAGCTTTACAAGTATCGGACAGCTTCCAAGTAACTTAACTGTGTCCCACAATAAAGCTAAAATACAGTTATAAAAATATAAAAATACCCAGCATCCAATAAAAAATTAACAGACATATAAAGACACAGGAAAATATAACCTGTGATGAAGGAAAAGAAAATTAATCAATAAAACTGAACTAGAAATGACACAAATGATAGAATTAGTAGAAAAGGATATTAAAAGTTATCATGACTATATTTAAGAAAGAGGAGGAAATATTGAACCAAATCGAATTTCCATTGAAAAAGATAAACACACATACAATGCAACAGAAAGAGAGGTGACTGAATTGGAAAATGTCACGACAAAAACTATGCTAAATGAGAGGACAGAAAAAAAGACTAAAAAAATCAATACAGCATCAGTAAGCTATGGACTATACTAAGCAACCTAACATATGTACTTGGAGTCCCCAAAATGGGAGATGGCAAAACAATATTTAAAGATATAATGGACAGAAATTTCCTGAATTTGATGAAAATCATTAATTCATAGATCCAAGAGGCTCCATGATCCACTAGCATAAGAAACAATGAAAAAAACCACACCAAGGCACAACCTAATCAGATAGGTTGCCTAAAACTGATAATCAAAGAGCAAAATTATTCTGAGAATATTTGAGGATAAAGAAATCACAACTTGAGGACTTCCGGCCAAGATGGAGGCATAGGTAGACACACTGTGCCTCCTTGCACAACCAAGATAGGGACAACAACAATTTAGAAACAGAATAACAACCAGAACTGACAGAAAATTGAACTGTATGGAAGTTGGACAACCAAGGAGTTAAAACAGACATGTTCATCGAGACCGGTAGGAGGGGCGGAGTCGGGCAGTCAGGCAGAGAGGGGTCAAGGCACAAAGAGCATTGGGACTGGGCACATAAGACCACAGTGGGCGGACCCTGGTCGCGCAAGCGGCGGCTAGCAGACCCCAGCCGAGGGGTGGCATCTGGCAGACCCAGCGAGGCAGCAATTGTGAAGCAAGGCACTGAGTCCGACCCAGGATCGCAGTGCTGGGAAATAGAGCCTTGGGGCACTGACTGAAAACACCTGTGGGGGCTGAGACACAGGGAGAGACTCCCAGCCTCACAGGAGAGGTCACTGAGGAAGGGACTGAAGTCCAATGGAGAGTGGAGCAGTTGCTATTGTTCCCTCTTGGACACCACCCCCACATACAGCATCACAACCCCACGACTGGGGTGCCCCACCCTGGTGAAAACCTAAGGCTCTGCCCCTCATACATAGCAGGTGCAAAAAAAAAAAAAAAGATGGCTCAAACAGAAGAAGAAATGAAAACCCCAGAACCAATCTTTTTAAGTGACCGAGAGATAGCCAACCTATCAGATGCACAGTTCAAAGCACTGGTGATCAGGATGCTCACAGACTTGGTTGATTTTGGTCACAAATTAGATGAACAAATGAAGGCTACAATAAGTGAAATGAAGAAAAATGCACAGGGAACCAATAGTGATAGAAAGAAAACTGGGTCTCACATCAATGGAGTGGACCAGAAGGAAGAAAAAACATACAATCAGAAAAGAATGAAGAAATAAGAATTCAAAAAAATGAGGAGAGGCTTTAGGAACCTCCAGGACATCTTGAAACGTTCCAACATCCGAATTATAGGGGTACCAGAAGGAGAAGAAGAAGAGCAACCAAGTGGAAAAGTTATTTGACCAAATAATAAAGGAGAACTTCCCCATTCTGGCAAAGGAAATAGACTTCCAGGAAATCCAGGAAGCTCAGAGAGTCCCAAAGAAGTTGGACCCGAGGAGGAACACACCAAGGCACATCATAATTACATTAGCCAAGGTAAAAATGAAAGAGAGAATCCTAGAAGCAGCAAAAGATAAGGAGACAGTTACCTACAAAGGAGTTCCCATAAGACTGTCAGCTGATTTCTCAAGAGACCTTGCAGACAAGAAGGGGCTGGAAAGAACTATTCCAAGTCATGAAAGGCAAGGACCTACATCCCAGATTGCTCTATCCAGCAAAGCTTTCATTTAAAATGGAAGGGCAGATAAAGTGCTTCTCAGATAAGGTCAAGTTAAAGGAGTTCATCATCACCAAGCCCTTATTTCATGAAATGTTAAAGGGACTTATCTAAGAAGAAAAAGAAGATAAAAAACACATATAGTAAAATGACAGCAAACTCACAATTAACAACCACACCTAAAACAAAAACAAACTAAACAAACAACTAGAACAGGAACAGAACCACAGAAATAGAGATCACATGGAGGGATAGCAACAGGGGAGTGGGAGGAGTAGAGGGGGGAAAAGATATGGAGAATAAGTATCATAGATGGTAGGTAGAAAATAGACAGGGGGAGGGCAAGAATAGTATGGGAAATGTAGAAGCTAAAGAACTTATGACACATGGACATGAACTAAAGGGGGGGAATGTGGGTGGGAGAGGGTGTGCAGGGTGGAGGGGAATGAAGGGGGGTTAATGGGACAACTGGATTAGCATAATCAATAAAATATATATAAGAACAAAAAGAAATCACAACTTTAAGACTGAGAGTAGAGAAGACTTCCAGCACCACTGCCACATACTGCTCCCATAAAGGAAAGCTGTGGTCTTCCTTAGTTATTAAGCACTCCTAATGAATCAAGCATAATGCATAACCCAACCTGACTATTACTGCCTTAGAGACTGACAGAGGAAACAACAGCTAACATCTAAGGAGACAGATACTTTATATCCATTTTCCCATTTAACCACTCAACAATTAAATGAGGTCGACACTATTATGAAATCCATTTTACAGATGAGGAAACAGAGGTACAGAGAGGTGGAGTAACTTGTCATGGTCTCACAGCCAATAATGGAGCTGGAATTCAAGTGCACCGACAATCTGGCCCCAGAGTCCACATGTCTAATCACTATTTTGCCTCCAGGCAGAGTAACACCAGAGCCACAGGTGCTGACAGTCTGGAGGCAGAATGGCACATCCCCAGCCTTCAGAACCACTCTAAATAAAAATGACATGCATTCGAAGAAAGTAACATTAACATCTAGGGGGAGAATGAAGATTAAACACATTGACAAGACACAGATGACAAAATATCTTCTATGTAGTGCCAAATATACCCATGCTGACTTTATTATAAGGCTAACCTTGCAAAATTATGACAATATTCCAAGAGACTGCAATGGAGAAACCAAGGACCAAAGAGGAAGTAAAGCCATCTCTGAGGAAGCTCTAATCACTGCTGGGTTGGGTATGAAGTTGTTTCAGTTTTAAACATTTGTTTTCAACATGCCACCCAAAACTATCACTAAAGCCATCAATCTAATCATCAGACACCTAATTATACAATCAATAATAAAAGTCCTCCAGAACACTCTCATCAATCTTCACTGACAAACTCACGCCAAGGACATGAGCAACCATGCCCCAAAGGGATTACTGCGGAAGGAAATGATGTTCATTTTGTAATAATAACAACTTTCAAAATGCAGCACCTGCTGGAGCATTACCCTGGGCGTCTCGAACACTTGTTCCAGATGTATGATGTGCTCATGCTTCACGATTTTTAGGATGTTCACCTCCCGTTCGAGTAACTTCACAGCAGAGCTCCCAGCCTTCAATAATGAGGAAGCACAGATTTCATATACAAATGTCACTGCTACACACCGCAAAATAAAATTTAGTTATTCTTGTATTTTTCTACATTTTCTTGAGAAGTGTCTTTTTCAAAAGATAACATGCAACTTATTTCCATAATAAAATTAAGTTATGCCCCTTCTCTCCTTTCTCCAATTTTATATACAATTTTGCTCAAACCACATCTGTTTGTTGGACTGTTCCTGTAAGTTAGCTACAGTATGGTCTCCGTCACCTCACTAAAATTACTCCAATTTTTAATATGCTTTTTGGTATTTCCTTCAGAATCATGTTGATCCTTTGATGTTAGCATAACAAAAACAAAATCTGCTTTCCAAGGACATCCGCTGGAGAAAATAAAAACAAAGTAGTTTTCTGTTTTGTTGTGGTTTTGCTTTGATTGTATGTATATACATCAATGGAAACAACAGGAAGTGAGAGTCTACACTTAGCCCTGCATTATATCACCTCCTGGTCCCCAGGCCTCAAAAATTAATAACCAAGAGAGAGATATCGAGATCCTGACTTCCAACCAACCTAACTCCTATTTCATTTCCTTATAGGTAGCCCTTAACCACACCTGACAGCAAAAGGCACAGGCAGCCGCCCCTGCACACGAGGCCTCCAATCAGGGTGCAAGTCATTGAGTTTCCATTAACACAATGTCATCTAAGAAATTTTAGGACTTTTCTCCCATCACCACTGCTGCCACCACCCCAGTCATCACCCCTATTGAATCCAAATGACCATTGTTATTTGCAAATAAGCACTATCCTCAAGCATGTAAAACATCTTTGAAAGGGTAACAAAGATTTTTAGCCCTTCCTCCTTCTTCACGCCTTCCCCACACACCAGCACCGCCCCCCACCCCAAGCTTAGGAGAGTACATAATAGTTCTGAAAGGACTGCAATGGGGTCGATCATAAAGCCATCTTTACCTAAGATAAAATTTTACCTAGGGTCGTCCCTGCTTCCAATCAACTTTACCCTTGAACCAAAACTTCCCACCTACTATGCCCTACCCATGTTGGTGGAAGTCACATTTTACAGTTATCCGAATAGGGTTGAGGCAAATAGCCACTGTGAGGGGTGAATTTCTATCTAGACTAGATATGGAAAGTTACCACAATTTCTCCTAAAATCCACCTCAGTTCTGTTCCTACCTCCCACCCCAAACAGCCTGACCCACATATTACGCAGTGATGTGCAGTCCAATTCATGTATCAATTATATAATTTCATCTTACTACCTGAGTGTACTGAAAACTCTCAGCATCAACACACGTGTACAAGACTATGAATTCTGAAAACCACAAGCAGGTGTCCAGATTACACGAGTATCGCCCTGACCCTAAACCCCAGTCCCACCTGATGCCAAAGGGGCAAAGGGAGTAATGTTCCGTGTAGCACCATGGCTTTAAAATTCTGAAGATTTCTAGAAAACCTCTGGATCTCCCTTTATTAAGATTTAGAAATTACTTTATTAATCTTCAAGGAGAAATGGTATGCAATTTGTTATCATTTGTTTTAAAGAATACATTTAAAAACCTACTACCTCATTTTGTAATTGTAGTATTTATCATCACAAAGCTAAGGAAAAAACATCGTAATTTTTCCCCAGAAACAGAAATTCTTAAAAAGCTGATGAAATGATCAGGTGTGAAACCGGAGGACTCAGACTCCCCCCTAAAGACGAGCCCAGCCATTCTCCAGCCCAGGGGAAATCCAGTGAGGAGTACAGTGGGTACGAGTAAAGCGTACAGCAGACAGTTGGGGAAAAGGTGGTTCAAACTAAAAGAGCAGGTAGGATGAATAAACAGAATAAACTGACACTGAGGAAACGGGAACTCAATGGGAAGGAGAGAACCGGAGAAAAGTAGAGCAGAACCACATCAGGAGAGAGTCCCAGGACTCATTTCTGGCTAAGACATTTACAGCCAATAGCCCCACACTTATACACACTGATAATCAGAGCTTATCTTCAACTCACTCTGGCATAGACTTTGCCTATATTTGGCTGTACTGACTATGTTAGCTATCCTTACATTTGTTTTTTCTAGATACACTTATCCACCTGAGTTTAAGAACTGGTCCCTACCCAGAAGGCTTCAGAAATGCCTACAGACCCTGGGGAGGAGCCCAGACCCAGCCTGAAAGGTCAGAGGCAGGTGTGTTAGTGTAAAGAACTGCACTGCCCCCACCCTGCACTGCCTCCCACCCTGCACTGCCCACCCCACCCTGCACTCCCCCCCACCCTACACTTCCCCCCACCCTGTACTTCCCCCCACCCTGCACTGCCCCCCACCCTGCACTGCCCCCCACCCTGCACTGTTCTTGGTATGACGCTGCTAATAAGCCTTACCTTTTCTTTGTTCACTTTTTTAATTGCCCACTTAGTTTCTGTTTCCTTGTCTGTTGCTTCAATGACCATTCCAAAGCTCCCTTTTCCCAATACTCTTCCAAATGTATAGATTTCCTGGATAAAAAAGTAAGAGTCCCTTTGTCTCTCTCTGCCATTCATTGGATATTAAAAATGAACACATAATACTGACAGACATCCACCCAAGGGAAGAGAGATTCTGCTTCAGGGTAAAATCAAAGAGAAGACACCACATATTTGCTTCAATATTAATAAACACATCTTAATTAAATAAAAATAAGCCTTGATGAATTTCATTAAATGTCCTTTGGAGGAAAATCATTAAAATCCTAATGGGGAAATGTAGAAAACCTGAAAAGTATAAAAATGAGTCTCTTGCAACTATAATATTAATGAAATATCTTAAGAAAAAGGAATGGAATATTAACATACACATACATCTACATGTGTATAAAATACACTCACCCCCCCAAATTATCCCAAAACTCTAAGAGCTATACCATAAAACTAACACATATTAGCCATTGAACTACTGCTTTCTTCTTTATCAAGTAATGTTTTTTCTTTATCTTCATTATTTCTATTGAAAATAACTTTTGTTTTATTCCTTCTGTTTTAGAAAAGGTGGTATGTCACAGAAACTTGAATACAAATCTCCACTGGGAAGAAAGTAAAAACCACCTCTGCAGACCAAGCATCTTGCTGCTTACCATCTGTCTCCTGCTCCGGAGCACACGGTGCACCGGCCCTGCCCGCGCCAGCATTCTGGTTCGCACGGTGGTGCGAGACCTGACCGGCAGGTCACTCTGGCACACTTCCACTTCTTGTGAATCTGGTTGAGAGGAGTCAGCCTCCCTGATCCAAACCGACTTCAGGGCATTAAAGAATGTCTGGGTCTTGAGAGAGTTTCTGAGCGTGAGAGAACAGCTGAGGCAGGGCCACCGGGGCCACCTCGGCCAGGCGGGCCACACAATCCCTGGGGCTGCTGCTCAGGCTCTGTGTGGTCACTCGGACCTTCCTCATGCAACAGGTAATGTAGCCACTGTCTTCCTATTTTCTACTTACTTTAGTAACAGAAGACTCAATGCCCAACTAATTATTTACCTCTTTCATGAAGGGCTTCCCCGCCTGACTCTGCCCTGCAGTCAGGGCTCCTGTCTTTTGACTTCTCTCAGCATGTACGCATTGATCCTCAAACACTGTTATTACTCTCTAGCTTACGTTTTCATTCATTTTTTCCCCAAGATAAGACATGTAGAAGCTCCTTAAGAAGCTGTTTCTGTTGTATCCTTTAAAAAGCCTACCCTAAAACCTTGTAGGCCAAAGATCCATGTTTAGTGCATGGGGGAAAGAGGGAGGGAGGGAGGGAGAGAAGGGAGGGGAGGGAAAGGAAGGAGGAAAGAGGGAGGGGAGGAAGAAAAAGAGAGAAGGAAAGACAGAAGGAAAGGGAAAGAGAGAAAAGGGATGAGGAGGGAGAGAAGGAAGGAGGAAGGGAGAGAGAGGAGGGGAGGGGAGGTCAGGGAAAGGAAGGAAAAGGAAGAAAGAAGGAAATAATTCAGTTTCAACATGTTAGACTTTCCTTAGATATTTCCTTGTGATTTACACTTTGGGGGCTACATAGTTGAATAAAACAATTCCCATTTTCTCAGAGTGTGTAATCTACTCGAGACAGGATTACTCTTAAGTCATAAAGTCATAAGTTAAAATCAAAGTACAAAACAACATTGGGGCCAGAGACCAGAGCTAAAACCCTGGGAGAATAAAGGTAAACATTCTGAAACAGGTGGCTGCTGAGACCGGCATGTGAGTGAACAAAGGCAAAGAAAAATTGAGTTTTTTTTCCAATAATCCAAGGAAGGCAAGGAAGGCATTCCAAAGGAATAGCAGTGCAAATGTGGAATGGATTAGTGAACTGATAAGTGAATGAATCAATCAATAAACCCAGTCAGAGCTTCTATATACACACACATATAGAAGTCAGTCAGAATCCTTCTATACAGACAGACTTGAGAGAAATGGGGGGCTGGGTATGTGAAGCTGAACCCCCGAGGAGCAGCGCCAGATTCACGGTCATGAACATTGTGAATGGGGACTGCCGGGTTCACACTGGGTGCGTCCTGTCCCGGACACCTGCTTTCAGATGACATCATTACTTTGGCTCCTCTCCCTGTACCACTCAATAGTGAGAATCAAAGTAAAAAAACTAAGATGACTAAAATAAGACAAAAATTTTAGTTTTATTACATTTATACATTACTCTCTGCTCTATATTATGTAAAATGAACTAAATCTGAATTTAAATGATCATTTACCCCCTTATTCCCCCACAGAACAAAAATATCTCAACTCTATAACCATTTCCCCAAATTTTCTTGACCTTTAAAAATGAAATTCTCATTTTCTTTCTAAACATACAGAACCACAACTTGGGCACAGAATTTTAATATTGTTTCAACAGGACTTTAAAATGAGGAATGGGCAGAGGAACAGCTCAATGGTCCAGCTAGTTTTTTATAAACTGATCTTTTTCTTCAACTATCTGCTTTGACATCATTTCATAGTGGTAAAATAAGAAGAAAATGACTTCTTGTTTGTATTAATTATAAGAAGATGTTATTAAAATAGTAAAGAGATCTATCTTCTTTGACAGAGACTAAGTCCATGATATGGTGTGGAGTGTGAAAGTATGCACGATCTGATTCTATTACAAAAGTGTTGAAAATATGTATACGTGGGGGTGCTTACGCTGTGTAGAAACACTCATTCATAGTGAGTGGTTATCACTGGTAGTAAAATTCTGGATGACTGTAACTTCCTGTTTTATACTCTACTGAAATGTTTAAAATCTTTCAAATAAGCCTGTCCATTAAATGGAAGAAGAAAAACCCCTACTATCCTAGTTAAGGTTATTTCTTAAAAATATGTGCATACTTTGAATATTCCACAATTTAAAGCAGGAAAGAAATGGAAAAGAAAAAATAGAGTGACATACATGCATAAAAACAAAGGTAATAAATGTTAAAATTGGTTATATCTGGCTCACGATTTTTTTATATTCTTCACTTTTCTATCTGTATTTTCCTAATTTTTCACAATGAATACATTTTTATTTTATAAAAGCTCTTATGACTAATTTAAAAATCAGTAAATTTGTAAATTTTAAAAAATATATAGGCCTTTCATTTAAAAGAGAAGACTTAAACTTTTCAAGTTAGAATTTCTCAGGAAGTTTTTCTGATTACTTCAAGTATATTGCTAAATATCTCTTAAAATAATTTTTAAAGTTAACATTAATACAAGTTTCTTTTGTGGTTATTCTTGTTGAGGTTCCTCTAAACTGTTGTTAAAATAACATTTCATTTCTAAAATGGCACTAATATTGAATTCATATCTGTATGTCATAATTAGAATCCTAAGAAAACTAACATTGGTATTCATCCAATCAGAGGCAGCAAAAAGTGGCCTCGAGGGAGGAGAGCCAAACCACCTGCCCTCGCCTGGTCTCCATCTGAACCCCGCTGAGGGCTTCACAAAGACTCCACGTTTGCGCTCAGCAACAGGCAAGACCTGAAGACCATCCTGTTCTCATTTTATCTAATAAAAATTCCCTCCACTTTGATTAAAATCCACTTGGTCCTCTATGACCAGAAAAAACAGCCTGCATTTTTGGTAGTAAAGACTCCAACATACTTGAAAAGAGTAAAGCTCCTCTCTCCTTTCCTTCCTTTCCTTCGAGACTTATTTTAAATCATTTTTGCCATTAACCACTGAGTGACACAGAATAAACCTGAAAGTTCCTAGTGGCTTCACTTTGCTTTCTAAATACCTGAATAGCAGCTCCATTGTCCATCCTTATGTGAGGGACTTTTCCGTCTGTGAAGTTGCCCCGACTCCACTGTTGTTGAGATATCTTTCTCTCTACATTCGGGGTTCTTGAGGGCTTAGACCAAAAATTTTTAAAAAAAAGTAATATTAAGATACAACACACTTGTTGACAAAGTAAAAGCCCTAATTTAGAGAATCTGACAAATCTTTAATGTGTGCCATGATATTTACTGCAGACAAGATCACTCACTGTCTGTTTTCCAATTCTAAGTAAGCCCTTCATGAGTTACTGTCTCATTAGGCTGAAAGAGTCCTTAAGAAGTTGCTTGATCTGAGCCCCAAATCCAGTCAGCTGTGCACTGTTAGCTGCAGAGCAGACAGATCAGAACCTCCTCAATGACTCTTTCAAGTCACGAGAAGGCAACTGCACAACTTTCTTAATCATTCTTGTTTCAAAACATAGCAATTGTTTCAGACATTATACATAAAAGATTACTGGCCAGACACTCACAAATTATGCTTCCAATGAAAATAACATAGTAACAACTCACCCAGTTAACAATTAATTCAGAGATGCCTGTATGGCAATAACTATATTGTAATACAAATCAAAAAAAAAAATAGTTTAGGGTGAAAATTTGAAAAAGGTACAACTTTGAGGGCTGAGAACCTAACTTTTCTTAAACTTCCCGCTCTGACCCCAAAGCTGTGCTATGTTTAATGAAACCTTCCACACCACCTCCTCTAGAGAAAGCTGGGCACATCCGAACCAGTCCCAAGGGGTGGTCACAGACTGTGTGCAGACTGGTTTTGTAAAGTGTATTTGATATTCCATCTAGATAACCAGGAATTGTGTTCAATAATAACCACCCTATATTTAACCACAACCACAACTCATTCTGCATTGAAAAAAGTGCCCCAAAACTCAGATTTAATTCAACTTGAATCATTTTTTTTAAAAAGCTAGAACATTCCAAATTACAACCCAAGGAAATAATTAATTTGGGCAGTGTTGGAAATACCATAAAAGAAAGTACTAATCAACTTTGTTCACCTCTTATGTAAGAGAGAAATGCTCCTTTAATCGTTAAGAAGGCAAAGCATTAGCCGACAAGGGCCCGTGAGATACATGAAGGAAGCTAGGGATAGCTCTAGAGAATGTGATTTCAACTTGCGTTGAGAAGTAGAATCTTTGACATTTACCCCATCTTTTCCAGAGGAATTATCTTTAATATGTTGGTCTTTTTTTTTCTCCATTGAAATCGAAATGTCTGAACAAGCAATGCTTGATGTCTCGGACATTTCCACCACCGACACCGGAGAAAGCCCTGCGCCGGAGGAGCACAGGCACAGGACGTCTTCCTGAGAGGCGGACAAGCAGTGGGGGCACTTCGTGGGCTTTTTGTTCCCTGTGCCACTATCGGCCATTTCCTTAACTCCGCAACAAAAGCAACTCAAAAGGACGTTTCCACTGCTTGAGGGAAAGAACCAGACCAAAAAGGATAAGGTAAGCTGATGGCAAAATCTGTAGCTTCCAGTCGGCGAGGTCCTTATGTTAACCAGGCCCTAGGCTTCTCTTCATGCACGAGAGCTGCGGAAAGAAAAAAAAAAAAAACAAAACACCATTTAGAACATTCCGCCTCATCCTACCACTCCCCTAGAAATGAGAGAAAACCTGGCAGCTAGCACCGAAAGCAGTCTGTACATAAAAAGTTAATATTTACAACAAAATTAGGATATATTTCTAATTTCTTTCAAAACTGAATTCTTGGACTCCAGAAATTTTATTTATTTAACAATCAAAAGAATCACCCTCTCTGTTGAGAACCATGGAACTGCTGAAAAGCATAATCTAAAGAAGCCAGTTTGTTGGATTGATTATCGATTTTTTAAATAAAACAATAGATAATATCAGGGTATTTGGCATAGATTCTTGGCAAGTTCTGTGCAACTTTTACTTTAATCATATATATATAATTATATATATAATGTTTGTGTGGGTACACTTGGTCAGGTTATAAAATGTATTTCTTAATGTGACTTTGGTTTTTAAAAAAGCATAAAACACTGATGTGAAGCATCCATTACTGTAATTCAAAAGTTAAACCTCGGTCTACTGACTGTGTGAGAGAAGTTACATGGTACACATCACAAAGAAGTGGATAATTTGATTTTATAAAACCACCTAATTCTAAAAGGTCAAGGCAATATTAGAAGTATCCTCATTTTTATACTCAAACAGCAAAAACAGGAATCAATGGGTGCTTCTTTCTCTGCGTGGAAAATGGGCCTGCCCAGCGGTTCACCTGACCAGAGTTACTGGCAATGACACCTTGGCGAGCTGGCACGGTCTAAACGAGCACAGAGGGGAGGATGTGGTCTGCAGTGCATATGAAAGATACCTGGAGAAACTTCCAGAAGTAGCTGGGACTGCAGTCTTGTGCTGTACTATTTTGGATACCATTTAAAAGTATACAGAGTGGGCCAAAAGTACATTTACAGTTGTTTGTATGGAAAACTACACAGTAATTAACAAATAATAATAATGCAAGAATAAACTTTTTCACATGCTCATGACCATAAACCTACTTTTGCTCCACCCTGTATTTTGTAGTCACAGATTTTTGTTGAAAAACAAAGTCAAGCATTTGCAAGAGCCGGGGGGGGGGGGGGGGGTGTGTGTTAACTGGCATCGGCTGCATTCTTTTCCCCTCCACCTGTCTACAGGGCACTTTTATATGCCTTTTCTTTCTTTGTTTTGTCAACCAAAAACATAATCTTTATGTTTTTCCTCAATAAAGTAGTATCAAGATGAGGAGAATAAAACTGCACTCATGGGCAAAAAAATCATTATCTGTTATGCTACACTGGAAAACCGTTTGGAAATTATAAAGTTGAGTCTTTAACAAAGCTATTGATACTTCCCAATGATCGCTTGTCATTTGAAGTTGAAATTTATTCCAAAGAGCATGAAATTGAAATTATAATTCACATTTAGATAGCACTTTACCTTTCACAAAGCTTTTTATTATTTTTATTTATTTACTTGTCTCTCAATTACAATTGACATACAGTGTTAAACTAGTTTCAGGTGTGATCAGACGTGTTGTGTACTTTATGAAGTGCTCACCACAGTGAGGCCAGCACTCACATGACCACACACAGTTATTACACTATTATTGACTATATTCTCTATGCTGTGCTTTTTACATCTCTGTGACTATTTTTAGGGCTGGCAATGTGTACTTCCTAATCCTTTTCACCTTTTTCATCCAACCCCCACCCCTCTCCCATTGGGTGACCATCAAAATGTTCTCTTTATAATTGTCTTTTTCTATTTTGTTAGTTTTGTTCTTTGGATTCCACATATAAGTGAAATCATATAGTATTTGTCTTTCCCTGACTGGCTTATTTCACTAAGCATAATACTCTCTATGTCTATCCATTTTGTTGCAATTGACAATATTTCCTTCTTTTTATGGCTGAGTCATACTCCATTTGTATGTATGTACCACATTGAAGAGACTATCTTTACCCCATTGTATATTCTTACCTCCTTTGTCACCATATTGACCATAGGCATGGGTTTATTTCTGGGCTGTCTATTCTGTTCCATTGATTTATATGTCTGTTCTGATGCCAGTATCATGCTGTTTTGATTGCTATAAATAATGTGGTATAGTTTGATATAAGGTAGTATGATACTTCCAACTTTGTTCTCTTTCTCAAGACTGTTTTGGCTGCACAGGGTCTTTCATGGTTCCACATAAATGTCTGGATTACTTTTTCTAGTTCTGTGAAAAATGCCATTGGTATTTTGATAGGATTTACATTTAATCTGTAGATTGCTTTGGGGAGTATGGACATTTAAAAAATGGTCATACTTCCTATCCATTAGCACACTGTAGTTGCTCTTTTACTTTCTTCATTTCTTTTCTTAATGTCTTATAGTTTTCTAAGTACAGGTCTTTTACCTCCTTGGTTCAATTCATTCCTAAGTGGGGTTTTTTTGATGCAATTGTAAAAGGGACCATTTTCTTAATTTCTGTTTCTGATAGCTCATTATTGGTATATAAAAACACAAACAATTTCTGAATATTCATTTTGTATTCTGCTGCTTTACTGAATTCATTTATAAGCTCTAGTAGTTTTTTGATGGAATCTTTAGGGTTCTCTCTATATAGTGTCATGTTATCTGCAAATAATGACAGCTTTATGCACTTCTTCCTTTCCAACTTGGATGCCTTTATTTCTTCTTTTTGTCTCATTGCTATGGCTAAGACTTCCAATGCTATGTTGAATAAAAGTGAAGAAAGTGGACATCTTTGTCTTGTTCCTGATCTTAAGGAAAAGATTTTAACTTTTCACCATTGAGTACAATGTTAGCTGTTGGTTTGAAATATATGCCCTTGATTATGTTGAGTTATGTTCCCTCTATCTCCACTTTGCTGAGAGTTTACTGTAAATGGATGTTGGATTTTGTTAACTGCTTTTTATGCATCTATTAAAATGATCATATAATTTTTAGCCTTCATTTTGTTTATGTGGTATATCACATTAATGGATTTACAGATATTGACCCAACCTTTCATCCCAGGAATAAATCCCATTTGATCATGGCATATGATCTTTGTAGTATGTGGCTGAATTTGGTTCACTAATATTTTGTTGAGGATTTTTGCATCAGTGTCCATCTGGTGTAATGACCTATAATTCTCTCTTTTGTAGTGTCTTTGTCTGATTTTGGAATCAGACAAAGGTAATGCTGGACTAGTAAAATGAGTTTGGGAGGCTTCCTCTTCAATTTTTGGAAGAGTCTAGAAAGGTAGGTATTAAATCTTCTTTGAATTAAGTTCTCCTGTGAAGCCATCTGGCCCATGACATTTGTTTGTTAGGAGTTTTTTTTTTTATTACTGCTTCAATTTTGTTAGTAGTTATTGGTCTGTTCAGATTTTATATCTTCCTCATTCAGTCTTAAAAGCTTATATGTTTCTAGGAATTTATCCATTTCTTCCAGGTTGTCCAATTGGGTGGCATATAATGATTCATAGCATTTTCTTATAATCTTTTGTATTTCTGTGGTGTTGTTTTCCATTCTCTTTCATTTCTCTCTCTCTTTTTTAAATTTGGGGCCTCTGTGTTATTTTCTTTATGAGTCTTGCTAAAGGTTTATCAATTTGTTTATCTTTTCAAAGAACCAGCTCTTGGTTTCATTGATGTTTTCCATTGTTTTTTTCTTTAGGTTAGATTTCTCTTTTTAGACATTTTTCATTTCTTGAGGTTCCTGTATTGCTATAAATTTCCCTCTTAGAACTGTTTTGGCTATTTCCCATATATTTGAAGTCATCGTGTTTTCATTTGTCTCAAGTTATCTTTTAATTTCTGACTTCATCTCATTGTTAGTACATTTGTTGTTTAGCAGTATGTTTAGCCTCCATGTGTTCATGTGCTTTTCCGTTTTCTTCTTGTAATTGATTTCTACTTTCATACCATTCTGATCAGAGAATATGGTTCTCTGGGACACAATCTCTACTGATTTCACAGCCAGATTATGGGGACTCATCGTCCTGGCACTGATGTCCCAGATTAGGGAACCTAGTGTGAGGCTGGGTCCCCTCACTCCACAGTGGGGCCTCTGGAGCCAAGGTATCCCTCCTGATTCTTAATCTCTACACTGTGAGTGTGGGGCCTGCCCATTCTGCATCTCCAAACTTCCTACCAGTCTCAACACAGCTGCTTCTTTATGTCCTTAGCTATAGTAATACTGTTCAGTTAGTCTTCCGGTGGCTCTCACTGATGGCTGTTCTACACTTTAGTTGTAATTCTCATGTGGTTATGGCAGGAGGGAAGAACATAGCCCATCTTGTCCAGAAGTCTTGACCTATACACCTTATCCAATGCTCAACATTAAGAGTTTTTTTTTAATCCTCACCTGAGGACATTTTTTTTTCATTGCTGTTATAGAAAGAGGAAGGGAGAGAGAAACATCCATGCAAGACAGAAGCATCAACTGGTTGCCTTCCGTACATACCCAGACCAGGGACCAGCACCCCCACTGGAATTGTATGCATCCAGATTGGGGGGCGCACACGCGCATCAAGGACTGAACCATCAACCTAGGTATGTGCTCTAATCAGGAATCAAACCTGCAACCTTTTGGTTACAGGATGACTCTCAAACCAACTGAGCCACATCAGCCAGGGCTCATTATGAGTTTTAATTGTAGCAGGAGAATAAAAGGCTGGCTTTGTATGGACTATGCCTTTTCCTTTGAAGTTGAATAAAGTGAACCAGAATAAGAAGTTAGGTGTCTCTATTTCATTAAAGAAATATCTTTCTAGTCTAAGACTGGTTTTCAAATCAGAAATGAGGACTGACTTTTATCAAATCTTTATTGTGATTATCATATTTTTTCTTATTGAATCATT